ATTAAACTAGTATTTCAATGGCGTCTTAAGAAAATAGAACTTATAACAATCTATCAGCGCGTAAATTCTGTTAAAAAAATTTTTCATTAAACCGAAAGTAAACGGAAATAGCAATTAGCACTTTGTGTTTTATAATGTTCAAAACGCTCAATTCGTGATATCTTAAAGAAAAGAAAACGATAAAAATTATAGGTTATTCGTTTCGTCTGAAATTTCGAAATGTAAAGGATTTTATATAATTTTGAATCAATTTAGCGCTACGTTTTACAAAATGGCATCTGCTCGAAAACAATGGTTTTTTTTTAACCGTCAGGCGCGTTTTGGCATATATTATTGCTTTAAATTATTTCAAAACTGAAATCTTACCATCTTTTTAAAACTCCTCAGGAATAATTTTGTAATCATAACCCAATTAATCATATTGATTATTAATCAATTTTTCAATTTCTTTTTACGATAAGACCAACCGGCTTCTTTGAGCCCTCAAATTCTGACATCTGCGCATATCGTTCGTGCACCTGTATGTGAGGCATAGTTACTATTTACCAGAGTACACGGAATGAAATTCATGAAGAATTTTATGACCTGAAATCGAAATTTCTGCTCTTAAATATCCTGCTAGTTGCTCAGATCAGATGCGCTGTAGCGGCAACCGTTCATTCATTAGCAGCCAAAATGTAAAATTTTGCGTTTTTCGTCGAAACCTGTATGCATATCAATTTGTGTCCGATTTGCTTTATGTCTTCTAGCATCAACGATAAAATCTGTGTAAATTCATGTGAAAAAACTCCATTGTTTCGAAAAAGTTATTATCTTTTTATTATAAATTTGAAATGCCAGAAAGAAACGTAAAAATTGTAAGTATAACATAATGAAAAAAATTTAAATCATTTTAAGAAATTCAAAAAAGAAAGTTAAAACAATAATGAAAAAAAGTTGTTTATTTGGAATGAACCTAAATTTCGAATTGAAAAGAAGCAAAACAAGTTTATTCTAAATTTTAAAAATTAAGAAATATATTTTTTAAATTTTTTTTGAAGCTCTCAATAATTTGAGAGTCTTGTGCGAATTCAAGAAAATGAATCCACTATTTTTTATGTAGTTCTTTTTGGAAAAACCGATGAAAAATTTTTTGCCCAAAAAGGGAATTACCTGCAAAAAAATAATTTTTAGAATAGAAAATTAATATGATATAAAATCGATTTATATATCATTTTTTGCCAGTTTTTTTATAATTTTTTTTAAAATAATACAAAAGTTCCGATTTTGATAAAAATCCAAATACCTATGTTATAAATGGAAGCAAAACTGTATAAATCTTTTTTTTATATAAAAATTATTTTGAACGCTTTAAAAAGACTCACTAAAAAAAGAAAAATTGGGATTAAATAAGATTTTTGAAAGTTTGTAAGCAATCTTCACGGTAAAAAATTGAAAACAATAAAACGGAGTTCGCAGTCTATCGGTGCCCTTTTTGTTCTTTCCTTAATGGCCGTTCAATTTTTCAATTTTTTTCCATTTCAATTTTTTAATTTGTTTTCGTTCTTATTGACCAAAGACTATTTATTTTGACTAAAAAACAGCACTTTTGAGATTTTCAAAGAAATTCATTTTGAGTTTCAGGAAAGGAAGTCATATATCTTTTGGAAAAAATAATCGGTAAAAAAATTTTTTTTTTTTTTTCTTTTATGAAAAGACTAAAAGTCTTCGCTTAGTTAAGCGGGTTTACTGTACTTAACAGTGTGCATAACCAAAACTCACCGCGTTTATTCTGGCCGGAAGTTGAAAATAAGAATGGACAATAAAGTTTTAAAATAAAATAAACGTTAGTTACACTTAAAATCCTTACACATTTAGTTTATAACATACTCAATTTATAATTTTTACCAATATTTACAGTTGTTTTGTAATTAATAAAGGGTACTTGCATATTATCACAACCATATTATAGAAGTTGCTAAATGCTAGCAATCGTGTGCATAACCATTCTTCAAGTAACCATGCTCATATCAGTCCTTCAGTCAAGCGACATTGCCATTTTTTTATGTGTTCTTTTTGTCGTATCTGAGTTCCAAATAAGGTCCAACGATTCTTTTATACAAATCGGGACATTTTTTTTTTTTTTTTTTTTTTTTTTTTTTTTTTTTTTTTGCCTTAAACGCAATTTAAAAATAATATTCCCTTCTGAAATTCTGAAACTTGCCATAAATGGAAGAAACTGCGGGAATACGAATTTTGCCGCAAGATCACTGAAAGAAACGAGGATGAGATATATGTTTGATAGGACAGCAAGTGTTGGCGAAGTTTGCGCAATGTCAATTTTGTGCATTTCTCAGATTCCCCCCACCCAAGTGAAAGCGGATCGCTGTGTACACAGAGGACAAATAGCACAAGAAAATTATGGAAAGATTTTGCGAAAAATTTTAAGTATTTTATTTTTTTCATGTAGCATATAATTCTTGTTTAATAATTGCAATCAGGTACTTATAATCTTTATTTAATAATTAAAATTTGCATTTCAAATTGCTAAAGTGTGTTTTCTTTTCATATGGTTCAGCATGTTTGCTGATTTACAACAAATATCGATAACTAAACTAAAATATCGATCGTTTAGGAATTTTTTTTAGCATGTCGCTATGATCGCCAACTTGCACCCAGGTGACTTTTATCTTTTCATCAGTAAAAAATCATCAAACTGCGCCAAGATGCTTGTATTAATACGTAAGTACCCAATAAACAACGTCTGTAACACTATATTTTACCTACCTTGGAACAGAATTGTTTGGTTTTTATGTTTTTCTCCCCTTCCCCCGCCCCGAGGCAAAGATGTTAGCTAACAAAATATTTTACTACTGCTTGCTTTAATTTCTTGTTTGTTTGTTCATAGTGAAAAAAAGGATAGTAAGTTGTAAGGTTTATCCTAAGTTTTTAACAGTTAATTTTCAGTTAAAGCCGTGTTCCTATCTTTCTTATTTCAGGTTACAATTTCCTGCCAGAACGTGCTTTCAGAATCGCGGTTAAATGCAAATGAAGGAAGAGAAAGTATTTAAAGTTGAAGTTCTACTGACTACTGACATTCACCTTTTAGGCTATACTCTCTGAAAGCTATTTCTACGCTCTGCCGTATTTCAGGCCCTTGATAGCTTAGCCGTTTAGTTAGCGTTAAGGGGCCAACTCCTATAGAATTTTGATAGCTTCGGCTATATCTTTCTAGTTAATTTTTATTTCTTAGTATTCCTGAATTTCTTAGTGCCCAGGTAGAGGCTTTTCTGTAAGTCCTGAGAGAGAACCGTCTGTTAACTTTATTTTGAGCAATAAAGGGTAATTAACCCTTCTTGAGTAACTGTTCTCTGTTTACTGAACTAAAGCGATTATTCGCTTACCAGTTCTCAAGGCTCCACACATTTAGCTATAAATTCTAGGTCGGAACATTACAAAGTCATTAAAAAAAAAAGCTAACTGAAAAAACATTTTCTGTGTATTTTAAACTTTGACATGCTTACTCTACTGGTCCATGTTTTCAAGCATTATTTTAATGGGTAAAAAAGGTTTCTTTCTTTAACTTTGCATATTAAAACTGAGTGAATTCAGAGTTTTACTTTTCTTGAAACGTTGAGAATCAAGCCAAATGTTAGACGCAGAAAAACAAAGTCATTAAGTGGTAAGTTAAGATCATAAATAGGTTATTAAATATTTCCCATCAGAGTTGCTCAATGCGCAGCTAGCAGTGTCTGGGTATTTTTTGACTCCAAACATTGATTCCAGATTATACATTGTTGATTAAACATTTTCTCAGTTATAAAAGCATTCCAAAGTTCACCTCAGCTGTGAATATTATTCCAACCTCATAAAATTCATCAAAGAACATTTTTTTGTTCCGCATAACAATATGCTGCCATAATCTTTGATAATGATTGTATTTTCTTGCATTTTTTCTATTGGTTGAATTTAAATAACATCACTGAATATACCCTTGTTTTGTCGCAACATTGGTATAAGAAATCCACACTTCATTTTACTGAGGGAAAAGCAATCATAGCAATTTCTCTTGTTGTTCAGAAGTGCATATATAAGGGCTCTCCCACTTTTTTTTTTTTTTTTTTTATCTTTTTGTGTGTGTGTGTGTGTGTGTGCGTGTTATTTCAACATTTTCATTTCAGAAATCATTTAATGCACATTTTGCGATAGCCCAAGTCTTCCGTGACAGTTCTGTATGCGGTGTACTTTTCAAGAAATGCTAATTATGAAGCGGTGATTTTCTTAGATTTTTGCATTCACTTGTTTCATAAAGATATACTTCTTTAGAACTAGATCGTCTACTTTTCTTCGTAAGTTATAAAAAGGTTTTTTGCAACCTCCCTAACTTCACAAATCTTAACTTTCCTTCTGTCACTGTTGGCAATATATACAAATTGGTGAACATTTATAATCCATCTATTATTTATTAGTTGTATTAAACTTTCTTAATTTTCTCCTTCAGCAGTGTGAATACAAAGCAGTTTTCATTAGGAAGTATTCTTTGAAGGCATCTCTCTTAAGGTTAATAGCTCTTGAGTGCTGTGCTGTAATAAATTAAATAATTAATTCAACCATCACAATGTGATGGTTGAATTGATGGAATCATTGATGGATCATCATCAATGATGGAATCATTGTGGTTATTCAACCATAATCACAATTCATATCTAAGTGATGCAATTTACAGTGAATTTAGGCTGCATTAGCAAACAACATTTACAGTGAGAAATAGAATCACAGGCCAATTACATATTTTGACAAGATTGTTTTTATCTCAGCTATTATTGGAATTGCCATAAGAAAGTAAACAAATCTAGAAAAGTAATAAAATTCACAAAGCTATCTAACAAATCATTTATAGCTGCTCTATATGTGTTAAAGTTTTTTATTTGCTATTCAACTTCTTTTTGAATATGCCTTGTGTATTGTAACTATTGGATAATTGTATGTTTTTCACATTACACTTTTAAAATTTATTTCAGATCAATGTGTCACTAACTGCATTCAGTGGGAAGAAAATTTCTTTTCTTGGAATACTCCTGGCATTGGGAAACAGTTGATTTTCTTAGGTCTGCAGTTTCTATTCTTTCTTATAACATTGCTTTTACTTGAAGTGAGTGTTTTTTATGGCCAGTTCCGTAAATTAAAAAAGCGACCGAAAGAACATGCTATAAATGTAGATGGATTTAGTGAAGAAGATCAAAGGGAAACTTTAGAAATGGAAAGCTCTTCTCTAACTGAGCTATTCACTACAAATTCCTTAACTGTAAGGGAACTAAGTAAGCATTATGGTTCTCATTTAGCAATAGACAGATTATCATTTGGTGTTCTGAAAGGAGAATGCTTTGGTCTGTTGGGAGCTGATAAAGCTGGAAAAAGTACAGTCTTAAAAATGATAAGTGGAGAAGAAACTATATCTTTAGGAGATGTATACATAGATGGCATCAATATTTCAGAGAAACCGGGAACGGTTAGTTTATATTATTATTATTATTATTAAAATATGTTTTCACATTAAGATGCGACTATAGAAAAAACTATAAAAAAGAAATTTTCTTTTGTTAATATTATTTTTATAAAATATTTATTATATTCAATTATATTTTTTTTCCTTAGAGCAGGCTACAGAGTTAACTGAAATCACTTAGCTACCAGTGTGGCTCATTAATGAGTCCGTCTCTCTTCCTTTCTTTTCCTCATTATTTTTTTAAGAACTGATTCGGTTCACTAGTAACTAACTTTCATGTACCAACACATTTCTGAGTAACCGTAAGAAAATATCAGAAGAATTTTCCTTCTAATGCCTTCTAACTAAAGGATCACAACTAAAGTAGACATTAAAAATAAAGCTCTGTGTTTACATGTTGACCTGATAATTTCTCAAACAAAAGGTTTACAGAAATTAAGCTTGCAGACAACTAAATCACACATTCATATTAAATCAAAGTACAAAAGTAATATGCCTAGCTAAATTTTGGCTCGTAAAGAAACTTCTACTCGTGAAGAAATTGCAGTTACCAGAAACTTGTCCCGGCAGGTTAAATTACATGAGCCGGAAAATAAACAGAGTTACAGCCAGCATATGCTGCCAAGCGCTTTCTCGCCAAAAATCTTAGAAACTATAGTCTTATTTATACCATAACTAATTTGTATTCTGATGAAAGTAAAACCGAAATAATAAGATAAGTGGGATGAATTTAAGTAAAACCCTACAAGCTGAGAAAAGCAATGTTTTCATTTAGCAGTTTCCTTCACTATTAGTAAAGCTCGGAAGTGGTTGCCAATTGATGAGGCCTAAGCTATTTTATTCATCTTCTATAATAGTGTTGCGTGCGTACGGGTTCGTTATGAAATGAATGCACAAGTCCGATGAAAAATGAACAAAAATTTATTATTATCACAACAAAAAAAAAATGCTTAAATTTTCTCAAATTATCATGCAGTATTACAAAATCTCACAGTAGTTTTCTTTTAACTACTCAAATGTCCAATAGAACGTAATTCAAAACAGCTAAAGAACGCTAATCCGCGAATTCGCTACAATCAACAACAGTAGTTTTCTAAACAACAACAAACTAAGCAACTACTGCAAACTGAGATGTTTTCCTCCTTTTATAAGATTTTAAAATCACGCGCCAGAATTTTCCAGTACTTTCTCGAAATCAAAAAGAGATATTTATTTATTTAATGCACGCGCTCTTGTATTTTCAATTTTTTCGGCTTAGCTTTCTTTTAATATTCGTCACGCGCTGCACTGCGCGAGAAATAAAACCATTTAATTTATAATTGAACTAACATTAGCTTTTTAAATACCAAATTCGTAACACTGCCCCCTTCCCAAGGACTGCACGTCCCGGGCAGTACAATCCCTGGACAGGAAGCTAAACTTACAACTGTGGCATAAATGCATTAATAAGCATTACATTACAATAATAAACAACATGAACAATAAATGCAATACATAAAACAAATCAAATGCCATCAAATACAAATCAAATACTAAATGCGAATCAAATACTAAATACAAATCAAATCAAATACGCATTTAAAAACAAAATGGACCATGGTCTTATACTATTTACAATTATTTACATTACGTACTATGGCCATACTAATGAGCTAACCTGTCGTAAGAGTTCGAAGACTCACGGATCCGAACCATGACGTCATTTAGCCTGTTTAGGATTGTGTGCGAACCATCCCAAGGTGACTGTAAATCAGGACTCAGTCCTTTTCGTTGAATCGGCTTCCACAACCACACCTTGTCTCCTTTGTTGGATCTATGTCTAGTAGCTCTCGTGTCGTATCTGGTCTTTGCTTTTTCTTTCTCCGTCGCCAAGTTCACTCGCTTTCGTGCGAAACGGGGCACACTCACACTTCAAAACGGGCCTGGACATCTTGGATGTGTTCCTCAGGCGATGAAGGCGCATCCGTACGGCGATCAAACAGGCGGTCACAAGGCAGACGAAGGTCTCGACCGAAGAGCATCTGGGCTGGAGAAGAGCTGGTAGTCTTGCGTTTTCTTTTCGACCCTAGTATGATTTCGGCAGCTTCCCGAGCTGGATCTTTCGGACAAAGCGTCGGCATTTCCAGGTGAGGATCCCTTCTTAGGATGGATAGTCATGTCTTCAGATCCTGAAAGCAGTTTGTTGTTTTTTCAAGTCTAAGGAAAAATTGTATTTCCTTAAAAAGTCCAATCCGAGTATGCATGGATCTGTAATATCCGCCACATAAGCCGTGTGATGGTAGGCGGCACTTCCAAACGTGATGTTACGTTTACGTTTAACTTCCCAGTTATGTCGATCTTGTCACCAGACGCAGTCTGAAGGGTAACACAGGATGGCGTCCAAATAAGTTTATCTTTAAACTGTTCAGCTAAATCTTTCCTAATGATGGTAACATTAGCTCCTGTGTCAATGATCATACTGCAAGGAACTCCATCGATATTCCCATTGATGGACAGTCCGTTATTGTTGCCACTCACTGTATAAATTTTAAGAGCTTTAAAACAAGGTTTTTCACTATCTGGCGACCTCCGTTCCTCGATATGGTCTCTAATTTGTTTACTGCGTTGTTGCTGGGAAATGGTCTTATTTTCCGTACCTCGGGGTGTTCTGCAGTTTCGTCGTATGTGACCTTCAGCACCGCAGTTCCAGCACTTAACGGTCGGTTTCTCACCAATATTCCGTCTCAAGGCGTTCAGTTGTCTAGTTAAATCGTCAAGTCGAGCGGTGACTTGATCCCCTGGCTCCTGGACTTGAGCAGCTCTGACTGGGTGGCGGTCTCGACGAGTGGCTTGCTGGGCTGCCTCAAATTTCATGGCGTACACTAGAGCACTTTTTAAATCTTTTACATCCGCCATTCGTAGAGCTTTCTGTATTTCAGTATCTCGGATGCCGTCGATAAAGTATTGCAAGGACAGGATTTCCCTTGTTTCTGTCGGGCATTCCGAAAAGGCGAGATGGGACAGCCTTTCAACATCCGCGGCGAGCTCCTTGAAGTGTTTCGGTAGGCTTCTGTTGACGAGATTTTAATTGGAGCCTGCTGTAGTCTTTTAAACACTCCCCAAAGCGCAACTCCAAGGCGCCGGATAGAGCTTCGAAATCTAGCCTTTGATTTTCGGGAAGCGTCTGCAGGATATCCGCTGCGTCTGCTCTCAGAGAAGCGGCGAGATGACAGGCCTTAGCTTGGGAATCCCATCCATTCGCATCAGCAACGATAGAAAATTGTGTCCTATACACCTGCCAGGAGGTCTTCTCATCATATGTAGATAGTTTCAGAACGGAACGAGCAGGCATCGATAAAAATTTGAAACCTTCCGGATTGCTACCTGCTGTCGCTACGAATTTCTTTAAATCATCAACTTCTTTAGTGACCGCAGAAACTCTATCATTAATTTGTTGTTCCACGGCAGAAACTCTCTCTTCTATTTCTTCTTTTACCGAAGAAACGTTTTCTTCAAAGTTTCCAACTTTATTCTCAACTGCGTCAATTCTGCCTTCCATAACCTCGAATTTGTTTTCTATTACGCTGGTAATTTCTCTTTTCATCTCTTCCTGTCCTGCTTCAATCTTTTCCTGATTACATTTCATCTCTGCTTTCATTTCTTCTTTAAACGAGGCAAACGCTGATATCAGCTGTCTTAATTGCTCTTCCATCGCTCTTGTGATTGGCATTCAAATCCCACCGCTGCCACCAAAAATTGTTGCGTGCGTACGGGTTCGTTATGAAATGAATGCACAAGTCCGATGAAAAATGAACAAAAATTTATTATTATCACAACAAAAAAAAATGCTTAAATTTTCTCAAATTATCATGCAGTATTACAAAATCTCACAGTAGTTTTCTTTTAACTACTCAAATGTCCAATAGAACGTAATTCAAAACAGCTAAAGAACGCTAATCCGCGAATTCGCTACAATCAAACAACAGTAGTTTTCTAAACAACAACAAACTAAGCAACTACTGCAAACTGAGATGTTTTCCTCCTTTTATAAGATTTTAAAATCACGCGCTAGAATTTTCCAGTACTTCTCGAAATCAAAAAGAGATATTTATTTATTTAATGCACGCGCTCTTGTATTTTCAATTTTTCCGGCTTAGCTTTCTTTTAATATTCGTCACGCGCTGCACTGCGCGAGAAATAAAACCATTTAATTTATAATTGAACTAACATTAGCTTTTTAAATACCAAATTCGTAACAATAGTGTATTCTGATCAGTTCAACATTTCAAAAATAGTTTTGTCTGAACTTCTTTATAATATTTTACAACAAAGGTTATTTTACAATATTAATAAGACATACAAATAGATTTCTTACATTGTATAATATGTCAACTACAAAATTTCTTACTGTACTTCTTGTATGTGTTATTTACAATCAAAATTAAAATCTAAATGGTAGTGATGAAATTTTACACCTGCATACAAACTGTAATAATCTATATAGGAAGACACACATGTCGTTTAACTTTATTCAAACACCACTATGCTTTTTAATATTTTAATACTTTCTTGTTTATATCATTTTACATTAAAAATGTACTGAAATAAATACAGGAGCTTTTAAAATTAAAATTCTTCTGTTAAATATAATTTTTATACTGTTAAATACTGAAATTCCCTTTTAGATGTCAGACTATGATTAAAAGTTTTTAGATTGAAAGTTTGATATATTTATATACACAAAACAGGAGAAAAAAATTATTATCTTGCTTACATCAGCCAGGACTAGATACACAAAGCATAAGAGAAAAGAACAAGCATATATAACTTAAGAAAGATGAACACAAGGTGTTATAAATCTCATAACATATCTTTAAAGGTTTTGGCTCACAAGATAATATAAGAAGCTAGCCTTGTTTTGTAACTGAACAATGGAATAAAGCCAAAAACGGAGTTTAAAATAACTAAATCATCTAATTTTGCATAAAATGTAGTTAATTGTTCATTACTACGAAACAACTTTTACGCCAACGATCTCCAAACCTTTTAGATCGCGTAGCCTTTAATATGAAAATAATTATACT